CGTTGTTTGTAAATATTTGAATTGAAATTTGAGTCGCTGTTGTTAATAATTGTATGTGTTGAAAACGAAATATTTCTAACTATGAATCATGCTTTTTACACGATTTTGCTTTACACGATTTTGATTTACTCTAATTTTTCTTTACACGATTATGCTTTTCACTCAATTTTGCTTTATCTTATTACTGCGCTTCATTCACGGTTAGGAAAATTTTTACTGTCGCAGAAGTTTTTAGTCTGGTCGGGGTAAGGAATGGAATAATCCAAATTATTGTCTTGGGAGAGACAGATCGTAACTTAGCCTCTTAGCTGTCTTCTGACAGAAACTTAGCCTCTTAGCTGTCATCTGACAGATGATCCGAAAGGCTTTTACGCCTAAATAGTTTGTAACTTAGCCTCTCAGATGTGTTTTTACACATACTCGGTGCACGAGGTTTCTCATTTTCCTACGCAAACGTCCTCGTCGTGTGCACTGGGGAATCCGGATCGGTGAAATATATACTTTCCGGATTCGCGAACTCTTGACATTATTGTACCCCGTGAATAATGTCTTGAGGTGCGGATTAAAAATGAGGGGGATTCCTCCGTCCTCTAATTTTTGGAACCTTTCCATGCGGGCGGATTCCCAAAAGGTCTCCGCACTCCCAACCGCAACCTTTGCCACGACCAGGCAGAAAAAATATGAAATAAAAAACTTTAATGCCAACAAGACAAGAATTAAAACGCAGAAAAAATCACGAACGCAGATCAAACCCAAACAGCTCTCTTCAGAGCTCTGACCAGTCTGTCCAACCAGAGCAGACTGATCCGATTATTGATCTGGGAAAACAAAACTGTCCTCTTCAGGGCAATGATCAGTCTGTGCAGCAGGAGCAGTCTGAACATTATACACGTCCGCACATCCAAGACACTTCAATGGATGTTGAACAAATAATTGATAATGAATGCAGCCCTGGGAAGCCTTCGAGCTCGGGCAGATTTACGTTTAGTGCTCAAGATATCGATTATAATGCCAATATTGAAAGTCTTGTGGAACCGCTCACTCCTTTGAGCATCTCTTCGGAGGTTTGTGTTCCTAGAAAAACACGAAAAACACGTGACTCGTCTGTTGAGTCAAGTCATACTACCAATGATTTATCTGATGATTCTATGTCTCTTTCATCACGTGCTTCGTCTGTTGAAAGTTTTTCGTCTAATAAGATTAAAGCTGGTCGACCAAAGAAAAAGCCTCGGGGAAGAACTGGAAGACCCAGAAAGTCAACTGATACTTTGCAAAATACTAACGATTCTATAACTGAAAGTAATGAACAAGATATGCCGAATAATGAAACGAATATTGATTTTTCAACGCTGAACACTTTAGATTTCGCTGTTACTAGGACTAATGATCGAACTTCCATTTGCCGCAGAGCAGTTATGCCTCTGTATCAAAGAGATGATGATAACACGGGCCCTCGCGCCATTGAAGTAATGTGGAATAAACTCTCTGAATGGCTAAATGAAAGTTTTATCTTCGCCTATTTATGCTATCTAGCCAAAGTTTCTGGCAAAAAGGTGATTGTAGTAGATCCGCTTGTAACGGATCCACTTCATTTTCAATTAGAGGATATAAATTACGCCAATTATGCCTATCAAACTGGTCCAGACAGAGATGTACAAATTGTACTTCTTCCTGTTCACCTACCAGGACACTGGACCATCATTATCTTTGACAGTGAGTTCGGAACCTATTTTTTCGACTCACTGCCAGACGATCCTCATAGACTAGCTGACAATCACCCTAACTATCATCCTGATAGAATGCCGAAACTTATGGAAATTCTTTCTCAATTGACCAACAGACGCTCGGATTTAATACATTTGGGATCATATGCCACTGACGAATACACACTTCAACGTGACGGTGATAGTTGCGGATATTTTATTTGCCTATATGCCGAAGCGTGGTTATTCAATAACCGGAATCTTAAATTCAATAATTTCAATATTAATACTGAGAAGAAAAGAATATTGTGGCATCTGAACCATTTGTATTCCGGAGATGATGTTGAGTATCACCCGAGAAATGAACAATTAATAAGACACGCATTACCGATTCATAACTTGCCAAATACAAGTCTTTCAACTCCGAGAATGTCTACAAAATCTACGCGAGCGTCTTCAACTAATTTAACGCCGGGAATTTCTAATATCACAGTTGCTACTCCGAAAGGAGAAAACGTTCTTCCTATTAAGCATAAGGGAAAAGGCTGTCTTAAACATAAAGGGATGGGTTGTGCCTCCTTCAATTCAGGTCACCTCCCAGAATATTATAACTCTGGCCAATTTGGGGATAAAATTTGTGAGCATTGTGATAATAGACTTCTTCGGTCGGAAAAATGTTTATCATGCACGGATGGTCGAGTTCGACTCGACCCACTTAAGGAATACCCACATGACTATGCAAGGCATGTAACTGGTGAATCAATGGACTCTAAGGAATACATACGAGACGAATCGAAATATAACACTTTGTTTGCTTTTGGATCACTTTCAGTAGGTCGACAAAATGCACCAACTGGTGGACCAATGCCTGTTTTACTGAATGGTGAATTCGCTAGACGGATTGGGAGTTTGACCGCAGCTGATCACCAGATTCCATCTTTTGATCAGTTATACATATTGGATTCTAAAGACGCTACAGAACATCGAATGAATAATACGAGTTTTGATGATTGGAATAAAAAAAATCCCCATTTATTCCACGTCCTTGACGAACTAATTCGAGCCTATCATCCGATGGCCGAAATTCTCAAAAACTCATATGAATTCTATAAAGACATTCAACAAAACTCACCAGAGAACCTTAAAAACTTTAAGGTTATTTTGGTCGAAGACAAAAATGCTCCTACTGCTATTCAAGATCCAAATTTACATTCACGTCAAGTGAATCTGCCTACACAAAATGAGTCCACTGTCTTTGCGATTTGGTCTTCAAATACTGATGAGCCACCACCGCTCAGAGGTATTTGGATTACCGAAAAAGGAAAAGTTACCACTCTATGGCCTGATCACTCTATGACCGATCCAATACTCTACCCTTGCATGTTTTTGCTTGGGGACGAGGGATATTCTAAAGATATACCATATGTTAAAGTTGCTAAAAAACCGAATACTTCTAAAAAAGACTTTGATTACGACAAATCGGAAACCGGTTCCATTGCTGAAAGCGATTGCGGTTCTGTAGATGTCTATGGTGACGAACCTAGCCGGTCTCGTCCAAATCTTTCGATGAGGGCGTTCTATCGTTATCGCTTTGGCATTCGTTTTCCGGAAAATGAATCTTATCATCATATTTGGAGCACTGGTGGTGGATTGGGTCAGAAGTTCGCGCTTGATATTGCTGCAAGAATTGATTCCCAAGTATTTGAATATTTACGTAGAGATGACATGGATTTAAGATGCGATATACCGCCACATCTTGTAGACTATTTTGCTAAACATAGTGGCAAATCCTCCGCAAATAAAGTTGGACATGTTGTACTTTTCAGAAGTAATATGCCAGGGTTTAGGGCATACTTTAAGAAAAATTATAAGTCGGCGTGCACGATTATTAATCGTAAACGCAAGCGAGGATGCGCCATGTTTATGTTTACTTTTACGTAAATCCAAAGTGGCCAGAGATGAAGAATGAACTTTACCCGAACGGCCAATCTTTGGTTGATCGTCCTGACATTGTTATGCGTTTTTACGCGGACAAGGTTAGGGAGGTACATAAGGACTTGAATGAAAGACAAATATTCGGAAAGCAATTAGGGTACGCAGAAAGTATGGAATTCCAGAAAAGGGGTGGTCCTCACCTTCACAGAGTGATGGCTACCGATATTCCTGCCATACCAGAAATTATTGAAGGTTACATTCTTGCTCATATTCCGCCATTACCAGATAAAGATGATAAAAGCCCACGAGCCGAGGGTGAAAGACGCCTTCGAGATCTTGTACTAACATATCAGCTTCACGATTGTAAGCCCGAGCTTTGTGGAAATAAGGATAAAAATGGGAAATGCTCTAAGTACTTCCCTTATGACTTCTCTGATAAGACTATTCTCTATGACGACCAGCCAGCAGTTCATTATCGACCAAGTCCCAAGGACGGGGGCGAAACTGTATTGATACCGAAGAATGGGGTGCTCATTGAGTATACCAATGCTCATGTGGTACCATATAATCCATTTATTCTAATGAAGTATGAAACCCACCATAATTTAGCATATTGCTACGGTGAGAAGACAAACATGAAATATACTATGAAGTACCCACTTAAGGGGCCCACTTTTCAATACATTCAAGTCCAAGGTGACATGGTCGATATCGACGAGCCTGCGCATTACGCCCAAATGTATTATCGTTCAGCAAATGAGGCTTATGCAAGAATTCATTCAATGCCTTACGTACGACTTTCCAACACTGTTTATAACATGGTTATTCACTTACCTGGGGAACAAATAGTGTTTTTTCAACAAAGTCAAGCTGCAGCAGTTGCTGCTGGAATACCAGCAAACTTGCCTAAAACCATGCTCACTGAGTACTGGTCACAATGGAAGGAAGGAAAGTCGTGGCAATTTGTTAATGAAAAATGGACTCTTGTAGATGATGATTTAATAAAGACTACGCTTTATGAACACATGCCAGAAAATTATTGGTTTGATAAGGACGGAAAAATGTGGAAAAAAAGAATGCGAAAAAGGGATGTAATAGGACTAATCCATCCAAGACCATTCCCTCGGGATCAAGAGAGGTTTGCTCTTTACATACTTCTCCGCCACTTCCCTGGTGATCCTGAAGATTGAAAGACTTTAATGGAATTGAATGCGCATCATTTGTTGAAGCTGCACGATTAAGAGGTATGCTTTCTGATGACTCTGTTTGGGAGAGAACGTTGGTGGAGGCCTCGCATTTTGCCACCCCGAGTGAAATGCGATACCTGTTTGTTCAGGTGTTGGTCTTTGGTAATCCGAGCAATGCTCGCGAATTGTGGGAAAGATTTTTGGATCATATGATCAAGCGTGTAGGCAATGATCCAAATGGGAATATTCGAAAGAGACTTATTGATCAGGCTTTAGCATTTATTGAAGCACAACTTGCGGACTATGGAATGACAAACCAACAATTTGGACTGGATTCTCCATCCCCCGGGATGCGACAAGACGTCGATGAAGCACTTGATAACTTCTTCTTTGGAGACAAAGATGAAGATGACACTGCAAGCGGTAAAAAATCTAAAATTAAACTTAACGACGACCAAGAAAATGTATGGACTGCTGTTCAAAATGCTATCCAAGGAACTTCATCAAATACCATCTTTGTAACAGGAGATGGCGGAACTGGAAAGACTTATCTATTCAATGCTATAATTTCGAGATTACGAGACATGCGTATCCGTGTAATTGCTTCGGCATATACTGGCTGTGCAGCGACACTTTTGACTGGTGGTGCTACCGTTCATTCGGTATTTAGGTTTGGAATTAATATTGATGAGAATTACACCCCATCAGTGGCAATGCAAAGCTTTCACGGAAAACGCATTAGCGACAGTCAGGTTATCATTATTGATGAAGTTTCTATGCTTCCCAAGCATATGTTGGAGGCAATTGATCGCGTCTGCAAACAAATGTGCTTACCAAACACGAAACATCTTCCATTCGGCGGCAAGGTTATCATTCTCAGCGGAGACTTCAAGCAATCACTTCCGGTGGTTGCTGGAGGTGGTATGCGAGATCAAGTAAATGCCTGCATACAGTCTTCACAATTGTGGCCGCTTTTTAGAAATAATATAATTACGCTGAACATCAACATGCGTCAAGGACAAAATGAACGTCAGTTCACTGATTGGCTGCGTAAAATTGGAAACGGCAAATTAAATAAGGAAGTCGAGATTGAAAGTAGGAATTTGGTGGGTTCGCGCCAGGAATTGACGAATTTTATAACTGACAACGGTCAAGCTCTCATAAATCCGAAAGAGCTCATTAACAGACTTATATTAGCGCCACATAATGACACAGTAAATGTGATTAATGAAGACATGCTAAAAAAGATTACGACCAAGGAAAGGTTTTATTTCTCAACGGACCAATCGAACGTTGACGAATCGCCAATGGATTTTGATGAATGTGATCATGATGTTGAAGCATTAAATCTTTTAAACCCACCGTCAATTCCACCACACCGGTTACACCTTAAAGAAGGATGTATTATAATTCTTTTAAAGAATTTGGGAGTAAGTAGAGGGCTTGTGAATGGCACAAGAATGATTGTAAAAGAATTAGGGGATGATATTCTGAAGGTTGAGGTTGTAACCGGGTCTGTGGCTGGCTCAGGAACTATAATTTGCCTTTCACGAGTGTGGTGTGATTACGAAGATAATAGACCAGATGGAGTTAATTTCCGACGGTTGCAGTTTCCTGTTCGTCTTGCATATGCAATGACGATCATGAAGGCCCAAGGCCAAACTGCAACACGAGTCGGACTCGACCTCACACATCAAGTGTTTGGTCATGGTAATCTATATACAGCTCTTTCGAGAGTTCGTACAGCTGATTCTTTTAAAGTTTTTGCACCACATGTTAATGAAAATGACAAGACTAAGAGTAAAATGATAAAGAATGTTGTCGCTGATGGCTTAGTATTCTTCTAATGCCTTTTTGAATTATTCACGGACATGTCTCACAATGCTATTCCACTGGCCTGGACATAAATACCCAGAGCCTTCGCCAACGTATGCCTTAAAGTCGCCAAATGGCGAAAATGTTACTTGATCTTAGCCTCTAAGACGCCTTTGGCGTATATTTACTTGATCTATAGCCTCTCGGTCGCCGATGGCGGTAGGAATACTTGTATATATTGTATATATTTTTAAAAAATAAAAAATACAAAAAAATTTTAAAAATTAAAAATCCTAAAAATTTAAAAATTCTTAAAAAAATTACAAAAAAATTTCGTATCACAACAAAAACAAAAAAATAAAAAAAATTTCTTAAGAGACATTATTCCAAAGATAAAATTACAAAAACAAAAAAAAATTCAAAAATTCAAAATCCTAAAAATGTAAAAATAAAATAAAAAATCACAAAAAAATTTCTTATCCGAAAAAAATTTAAAAATACAAAAAAATTGACTAAAAAATTTGTTATATAGTGGAATAGCATGCGCTGAGCACGAATCCGTTGTCCAAATAATTCTAAAAAAATTTCCCGGGCAACTAGAGTCTCAAACACATCTTAGTTCCACACAACTTCTGGCCCTTAACTCACTCAGACTCAAGTGGAAACCCAACAAAGTATATATTTTTCGCATGATTAGAGGCTGCTTTACAAGAATATCTGAGTATGTTTCACTAAACACGATTCTTCAGCTACTCCACCTGTAAGCACCCCCACCCCTGAATCTTCAAACCTCTAACTTGGTCAAATTTGGACCGAGATTTTTATTAAAAATATTTTTAGACTCATCTCGATAATGGCTTTTGAATGATATATAATTTGCCCCACTTATCTTTATTTTTGGAGAAATAATTTTTTGGCCGAAAATTTTGGCTGAAAAATTCTTCAAATTTTTTGAAAATTCATATCTTTTTTTAAATACCCTCTATTGACTCATTTTAAAGTTTTATTCTATGTAAAAAAATCTGCTCTATCCGATAAAAATACATTCATCTTCAACTACTATCGAAAATCCGGAAAAATTTTCGAAAAACCGAAAATTTTTGAAATTTTTGAAAATCGACCCCTACGTCCCCAGCTTTGGGGTTATGTGGATTTACTGAATCTCAAAAAATTTCTAATTTTAAGTATTATTTTATAAAACAAACCCGACCCAAAAATCTTAGTTACTTCTAAAGTTATGACCTTTTAAAAATTTCCAAATATTTTTCATAAGGGGTACCCCTTTGGAAAAAATCGGGGGTACAAAATATTCGAATTTTGACTCAAAAAACGTGCTATATAGTGGAACAGCACACGCTGAGTCTGAATCCGGTGTCGAAAAAATTCTAAAAAATTTCCTGGGGACATTAGAGTCTCAAACCCATCTCAGTCTCAGACAAATTTTGACAACCTTGACCCGTATATAACTAAACTCAAATGGAATCGCAACAAAGTATATATTTTTTTAACAATCAGAATCCGATCTAAACGAAACTAAACACATTTAATATACATCTCCAAGCAAAAAATAAATCTAGCGTCCTTTTAAAGCCGCAGGCTTTCCACGCGCGTCCCTGGACGCGCCCACAAAAACGATTTCCGTAAAAACAACGTAACTAAACGCTCCCCCAGCGTAACCAAACCCAAAAAGCTACACGCTCTTTCAGCTACTCACCCTGCAGCTAGTTTCACTTAAATTCATAAAACTTTATTAGTCGAACTTTAAAAGCCTGACTTGCAAAAATAAAAATAGTATTCTGGATACGGAGCTGCAATGCATTGTTTTGAAGAAACTTTAATTTAAAATTAATGGGATTAATTAATATTGTGCAAATTTAACTTAACAATAGAAAAATTACACAGACTAGACTAAGGGAACTTTAAAGATTGAAGACAATTGATAAGTGTGACTCTAATAGTTCTTGAACAAACAAAAAAATTGACTGATTAAAAAAAATGTTTGGACCAAATAACTTTTTTTCAAAAATAAACGTTTTTAATTAAAAAGTTTAACAAAAAATAAAAAATCCAAAACCAAAAGTCAAAGGCTGAGCAATCAAGCTTAACTAATCATTATTCCCTCGTAGTTTAAAGTCAAAATTTTAAGTGAAAGACAAATATGAATTAACAAATATGACTTAACGCGACTTAAAATACTTTTTTAATCATGGTATAAGTTCAAGTCAAGGTTAGCCCAAAAAGTAACCAACATATAGCCAAACGACCTCTCATAGTCTTTAAAGTCTCGAACAAATAGAAAAATTACTCAGGCTCTAATGGATAAAATTTTTACCATCACTAAAACTCTCATAAACTTCTAAAACCATTCTCTAATAAAAAAACACACTACGAACCATTAAAATCACATACACGAGTGACACAATCGCAGTTCTCCGACAACCGCAGTCTGATCTTCTTTATTCAAAGATTAAAACACATTTAGTCAAGAATTAACTGCTTGACTTACAAAAATACAACAAATGCTCATAGACAATACTTTTTCTTGTTGTTTTTATACTATCAGCTTTACTAAACATAAATTTAATTAATTAATATTATGTAAAGTTCACTTGACTGAAAAAAGTTAGGCATCAGCGTTCGCCAATTATAACGAAAATAAAATCGACGTGAATACTTAACAAAATTAGCGACCTTAAAAGCCGCTTACAAAAATAAAGCAAATTCCGTGTAGATGGTAAGATTTAGACTTTTAGATTTACTTTTGCTAAAATTTAATTCAATTAATTAATATTATGTAATTTTCACTTAAAATTGCATAGAAATGACCTAGCATCTTACAACACTATAAAAACGATTACTCAGTTTTAAACACTAATTAGGGATTAAATTTCTAGACTTTCAATTAAATTTTCAATTATATTCTTTGTCGAGCAAACAAAGAGTACAAATTTATTTATATTTACTTCCCTATTTATTTAAAAACAATTTAAACTTGCAGGCTTTACATATTTATTTTTCCTTTTTTCAATATTCAGACGTTTGCACTTTATGTTTTTCACAAGTTTAGACAAAACAAACGGAAAAAGTGTGTGGAATATTTATATTTCGTGATTTTTTAAAAGTTTTCTGGCAGGTGGAAACAAAAATAGCATTGCACTTATGCAAGGAAAGCTTGAAAATCTAATAACCCTTCTATCTAAACTAGACTAAAAATTAAATATCATTGCTATTTAGACTCTAGTGACCGCTGTAACGACACAACCAGTGTAACTTAGATTTATAATGTAGTCGGGCATAAGAACCTGACTTGCAAAAAATATAAAAAAAAGCCACCCAAAACATAACACAATACAATTTAACAATTTTCCTTTTACTTGAGCTTAATTGAAATAATTAATATGTATTATGTAAAGTTGACTTGGAAGACTAATCCTTGATTAAATTATTAATTAGTCGAGCGTTAAAAGCCTGACTTGCAAAAATAAACGAAACCCTAATTCACCAGGAGATATGGTTATATTTTTAAGACTACCTTAGTTTAAATTAATCGAATTAATTAATATTATGCAAATTTAACTCAACAAAAGTAACAAGACTAAAGTAAACTTTACAGACTGAAGAAAATAGAATGATGTGACTCTAATTGTCCTTAAACAAATAAATTGGTTTGGACCAAATATATTTTTTCAGAAATAAACGTTTCGGCC